GGGAGGCGTGATGCAGGACAGACGGCGGCGTGATGCAGGACAGACGGCGGCGTGATGCAGGACAGACGGCGGCGTGATGCAGGACAGACGGCGGCGTGATACAGGACAGACGGCGGCGTGATACAGGACAGACGGCAGTGTGACGGATCAAGACAAGTGAAATATAAGAACAATAAATAAGCTAAAAATTGGTGATGTATTTGGGATTTTCAAATAACCACAAATGTATGAAATACTGATAAAGTGCAGATGAGGAATATTAACTACACTATTCATGCACCCCATATTGACAGTGTGTGACAAATATTGTGCAGTAAACTGTGTTATACAGTATAATAGGAATAATTATGCTGCAAGAAAAAATATTTTTTTATTCTTTCAGTGGCATTTCATATTGATTTGATGAATGATTTAGTGTCTCTGTTTCCATGTTAATATTTCACCCATTTCTGGTTTAATCAGCACAAACAGTGAAGCGCTCCCTGGTGACTAAAGGAGAAAGAGAGGTTCTTACTTTTGGAGAACCGTGGGGGGTTGTCGTTGACGTCACTGAGCGTGATGTTGACGGTGGTGGTACCGGCCAGCCCCCCCAACTGGCCCCCCATGTCCTTGGCTTGGATCAGGACTTGGTAGAGCTCCTTCACCTCCCTGTCCATGTTTGGCAAGGCAGTCCTTATCACACCTATGGTGGGGGGGGGGGGGATAATGCACAAGAAAAACTGAAGATCCACTCCATTAAAAAAAAGCCATGCAGCTCAAATTGAAGCTGGACGTATAAATTGCCTCCCGGATGGATGTTGCTTTGGAGAAGGTCATTGATCTGAAGGAGCAACGGAGACAAATGTCCACAAAAAAATGGAGGGGGGTGACAGTCCTTAATGGGAAGATCAGTCTTAATATCGCTCTTATCGATGGAGAGAAACTTTTCTGATCAGGGCCAACACGGCCAGTGTCAGGTCAGTTTGGTGGTCAGGAGACCTTATGAGCTTCCTGTAGCACCTGCTCTCCCTGTTTACCACTGCTGTAGCTATGCATCTTTGGGGGGGGGGGGGGGGGGCAAGGGCCCCCTGTTGGCCACAGACAGTCACTGCACTAAATATTTAAAAAACAGATTCCATATTTAGCAGATGCTGAAGCAGCATGTTCTGCTAATCAGCTAGCTAGCTGTCTCTTGCTGCCTATCGTCTGACTCTACTCGCTAGCTACTTGTGATGATGGATCACAGATTTTGTGTTGACTCAGGTCTCCCTGACCACCCCATACCTCCCATTGTCCTTCAAACCAAGATCTTTTCACCGAAAGCATCTGTAGCAAGAGATACGCCAGCTCAGCAGGACTTGAAGTGCTTGATGAAGTCGGATAGATTTTCTCTCATGTTGTTTTTGCTGCTGTCAGTAATGAAAATTGACAGCTGTTCAGTGCTGGGCTTTTTTCTTTCTAGTGGTGATACAAAATTCTACAATTTCCCTCTTCGATCAATAAAGTTCATTCAAATTCTAATTCTGAACGGATGGTGGTGCTTCATCCCTCCATTCTACTGCCTGTTTAACAGAACATGCGGAGAACATGCGCGCGTGTGACAGGCTATATGTGTGACAGTGCTGCTTTTGCCCCCAGTGGTAACTGTACCAGAATACTGCCCTCTCTTGGACTTCCCCCCCAAAATAACTCCCCTGAAGATTACCCAGAATTCCCAAGGTTAGACTCTCTCAAACGTCATTTAGCATTTCCTGCTTGTAACCTCTCTCCTCTAATCGACTGCAAACCGTAATGGAAACCCGGGACATTTCATATTGGGTCCCTGTCTCTCACACTGGTCCATAACTGTCTCATGCAGCCCTATTGCTATCGACCGGCTCAGATCAGGGCCCCAAAATCTCACTAACGAACTGTCCACTGGTGCTGCGGTGGCCGTTAATGCGATGCCACATTAAGTGCCACCCATGGAAATCTCGTCGCTGTGCCACTAGACCCGCACTGTCCCACTAATTTGTGTAATGCGGTCAATAAATGTGTAATTAGGCAGGAAATTAAACAGGCTCGCCCGTCCAGAAGTTTCCGGAAATCGGCCACCGAGGGACGGAGCTCGTTCGCCATGGTGTGTGGGGGGAGGGGTCTCCCAGCCATTCATCCGGACATCTTAATCCCTTTTAGGATGGTACACAAGTCCCTGGAATTGAGAAGGCCTTCCCTATATGATGCTGTATCACTGCACCACCACCCAGCTGGGCAAACAGAAGGATGAATGAATGAATAGATGGATGAATTATTTGTTGTAGGATGACTGATGCAGGATTGTGGACCGGGGGAGGATCCATTCATCCACAGGTGAGTCTTCAGTGCCTGCCGCCCCATCACAACACAGAACAGGTCTGGAAACACCCCGCAACGTGAGCCTATCACTGAAAAAGTATCCGCATGAATATTCATATCCAAAATAACCCTGACTGCCTGCACCAGGATCAAAGTACATAACTTCTTAAGTGTTAATCCAGCACAGGGCTGCAGTGAACCTGGGGCCTCTTTCAGCACATGGTACGAGGCCGGCATGCCTGTTCACCACACTATGGAGGCTGCTTACAGATGTTACTTCAGCTAAACGCTTGTAGGGGGCGCCACTGAGCACTCATGTGATATAAAGCAGAATTGATCTGCACTCTCACAAAAGATCCAGCTGGACCTGGTTAGACACAAGAGACATAAACGAGCCCATTTTCACTTTCTTTCGTTTTTATCGCGTTTGCTGTTTCTTTTAAAGCCGACCACTGTTTTTATTTTGTCCCTTTTTCCTCAGAACCTTCAAAACAAACCACATCAATCGCAGACATTAAATGATGTTTGTGAAGTAAAAAAAAATAATACCCAACCCCCCCCCCCCACCCATCGCCTCTGAGAAATTCTCAGGGGTACTATTGAACCACTGAACTCCAGAGGAGCTCATTTCGAACATGTCAGACGGCCGAGGCTTACATTTTTCTCAGCCCCTGGGTGCTGCCGTACGTAGTCAAGAGGTCTGATGGGGATCGTTTGTGGTTCTGATTCACGCCTTGGCCCCGCTCTCTTTAAATAAATCGATGCGATGTTTTATTCTATCACCCTGAATCTGGCCTCAGATTAAACTCAATCTGTTTCCGGGTGGCGCCCGCATCTGTAAATCTATGGTAAACATACGGGAATGCAATAAGCACCCGCGCTAATGGCGCGTGAATTTCAGGCAAGGCCCCGGGGAGGTAATTCACCCTGAGTTACGGGCAGGTGCCCGTGTCGATGCCGGCACTTCCCCCACCTCCAGCCCGCTGCCCTGTTCCCATGGAAGCTGCTCCCCGATACATTTTAATAAACTGTTTTATCATAACAGAGATTCATCAAACTTCTTCATGAACCACATCGAGGATAGGGAACTCGGAAGATTCAGGAGAGAAGATAGCAAAGGTGCTGAATCAACTAGAGTATCCGGCAGTGTTCAAATTTGTATATTTACATTATTTGACGACTGTAAGCTTGTAGGGTTAGGGCTAACTGATGTCATGTGACCATCTGAAAGCTTAAGGGGTTAGGGCTAACTGATGTCATGTGACCATCTGAAAGCTTAAGGGGTTAGGGCTAACTGATGTCATGTGACCATCTGAAAGCTTAAGGGGTTAGGGTTAACTGATGTCCTAGCCCTAACCTTCTGGGGTTAGTGTTGGGATCACAGTTCAGAACAAGGGTGGGCAATCTTTTCCAGAAAGGGCTGTTGTGTATGCAGATTTTCGCTGTAACTCCCTAATTAGATTACTGATTGGCTGAAGAGTCCTCGCACCTGGGTTTGAACAGCTGACATAAAGGTTATCCCAAAAACCTGCATACACTCCGGCCCTTTATGGATAAGATTGCCCACCCATTGTTTAGAAGGTGAGAACCCTGCAGGGATGATTGTGTTATGCGAGCTCACGTTTGGTGGCCTACCCGTTTTGGCATCCACGGAGAAGTAGGGCTGGCCATGCAGGATACTGTAGACCACCCGGGCGCTGTTCCCGTAGGTAGGGTCGTCCGCGTCCGTAGCTGTCACCTGTGTCACGTAGGTACCTGGACACACACACACACACACACAACAGTAAGTGTGAATTTAACCGCTAAAAGGGGTAACAAGTGACAGAGGAAGTGGAACACTAAAATCTTCCTTGATGCAATGGATGATCAGTCAATGCATTAATCACTCAGTCCATGCATTCGGAATGTAATAACATTTTTGAACAGCAGGTGGTGCAGTGGTTGTGGAAGCAGTTTATATCCCGAAAGGCATGTTTAACATCGAGCTGTTTTTGATTTAGTAATGGGTATGTGGGCACTGCTACACGACAGATCAATGGGACCCCCAGACTTGAACCAGAGAGATTTCCGCTAACGGTTCATATCACAGATCAATCGACATGGAGGTGTCTGTTCTGAGAAGGAGAGGAGTGTCACACGCAGCATGTTCAGCGGGGCGATCCCAGGACAATCTACCTACTCAGATGGACCCTTCTGATTGGCTGAAACGTGTGTGTGTGTGTGTTTGGGGGGGGGGGGGGTTGGCACCGACAGTGTATGATTAGTGGTCATAGAAAAACCTTGTGCAAGATGGGTCTGCCATTGAAGCTTACTGGGCACATCTGACAGATGGCACCTGCTGGAGCTGTGCAATGTTACAATGACTGCACTCTGCTTCAATACCTCCCTGCTCCAAAATCTGTATTACTTTTTATTTAGCTGAGACTTTTACCCAAAATGTCATACAATTTTAAGAATTCATGGTCAGACTGTGCCAGAGCAATTAGGGGTTAAGGATCTCGAGTAAGGGCATAGTAGTGACATCACCCTGCTGACCCTGGGATTTGAACAGGCGTCCATCCCATCACAGATACAGAGTCCTATCCCACGTGGAACTTATGTAACATCTGGGGATAATTACCGTCAATTGAGAGACGCCTCAGAGGTAAGACTGACCTCGGCTGAAAATGTCAGTCCTGAAACAATGACTGACAAGAGTCACCCCCCCCCCCCTCACCTCAGGTAAAAGCTGATGGGTCAATGTAGCACATCCATCTCCCTTGGTATAAAAGCCACCCTCGCAATACCAGCAATGCAGCGACCCCCCCATCGAATGAGCTGAAGGCGTATGGACTGTGGAATGATATTTTTTCACGGGAGACCGCAGCAACGGCTGAGTGAATATTTACAGAATATCCGCAGACCCGGGAGCACCAGAGAGGGATAATTATGTCAGGCGCATGGAGCGTGATTCAAACGCCACATGCATGCCGGCAAACACGCGCATAACACTCCCCCAACCTTTTGTGCATTTCCTTCAACATTATTGATCTCAATATACAATCATTTTCAGCAAATTGCCCCACAGGTGGTGTAATTTATCTAAGGACATTTCTCCTGCTATTGCCTCTTTACCCGGGGCAGCTGCCTGTAGTAGATTGTGACAGGGGGGGGGGGAAGCCTCACAAAGAGAAGTATAGAAAAACACATGTGCGACCGAGGCATGGACAATGGTAGACCTCGCAGGTCACGCGCATGATAACAATTATGACAAACCCCTCGCTTCCAGCACCACCCTTTGCTGTTTTCTAGACCGCATGAGGCTGCCTGGCATCAGCAGGGGCTGTTCATCATAAGACGACAGGTCCCTCGCAAAATAACAGCGGGAAAAGCTGCTATAAGGCTTTCTCAGGCACTGCCATGGCCGCCTATTGGAGAGGGCTTTCAGGCTTCATGTAAGAATGGAAGATCCCTCCCAAGTATGTTGAAGTTGAGTAAAATTAAACACACAAACACAAAATCAGGAATTGAGTTTCTGCTTATGGTACTAATCTGATACTAAGCAAAGTCCAGAAATGCAGAACCAAGCAGCATCCAGGGATCCAAACCCATATGGTTGACTTGTGTAAAGCAGTGCATCATGGGAAACACCAAATGAGCGTCGAGTGGTACAAATGCAAGGGACACGGGTGGATTTGTGCTTTTGGAAGTAACAGCTGCAGCCAAAGTGACTTGTTAAAACACCTTCGCTGGAGTCAAATCCTTTTCCTGAAACTATCAGACAAATTCACCTGGCCCCGTATTAACCGTAGTATAGCCTCACCGGGTTTTTCATCAGCATAAATGTATGCCTGTTTCTCTGACCAGCAGCAAGATTGTAATTCAGGATGAAAAGTGGTTGAGCGGGAGGGCTGGGGGACTTTTGCAGAAAAGCCGAATTACCAATAAAGTATCGGAATAATAACTAAAAAAAAGATAAACCTAAAAATACCTACAAGTAACTATATACCTTTGTACAGCTGAACAATACAGTGTACTGACTATAGCTGCAACTATTATGTGTTTAAGTTTGCTGCCCTGAAGCACTTACTGAGTTGTGAGTTAAATAATTCATTTAAAGACACTAAGGCAGGAGTTCTGGAGATTTCTCCAGAATAAGGATCATTCCCACCTACATGCTTGCCGTTTAGGTTACGGCAGGGTCTGTGGGGGTCTGTATGCACGTTATCTGTCACACAGAGCACGTGGCTTGCAGGAACTTGCTTTTCCTCTGGGCATTCATTATTTCCTCCGTCTCCTGGAAGTGTCTCCGAGGTCAGTGTTTACGGGGATGAGTGCATCTCCCCCTCACACGCTGAGCGCTAGTCTGTCCCAGATCAGGAGTTCCCAGCACCGGTGCTTGGGGTATTGGGTTTTGAGGGGTTCGGAAATTGTGGAGATGAACAGGCAGAGGTAGCTTTTCGGAGGGAGAGTAGGGAAAAGCCTCCTATTTCCTGAATAAACTCCCTGTGGACACTGTACTGCATTGTCATAAAAAATAGCAGTCCACATTAACTGAGTTGTTCTTATATATTCTGTTTTACAAGCATCCAAAAAAGGGAGACACAAACATGGACACCCCTCCACAAGAATTTGTCCTGGGGGGCCTTTTAAATCCACAGCCCCAAAGCTCGTATGACTCATCCGTGACTCGTCTTTGACTCGTCTGTGTCTGCCAGACACAACTCTCAAAGCACACCTTTCCTTCCCTGGTGTTACTGTAACCCGCCCTACCATCTGACCTGGAGTGCATTCTCTGCTTATTTATTGCTTATAATTAGTTTAATTACCATTATATAATGTTAAATGTTTACTGTCTCATTTCATGTCATTTCAGTTGCTTATTACATAACTATATTTAAATGTATGCATATCTTGAAAGTGCCTTATGCGTTATTACTGTTGCAGCTATTGTTGCTGTTTTTTATCTTATTGTTACCTCTTATCACTTCGGTCACGTCCACTTTTCACCACTTTTCCGGTCAAGAAAACAGCGACGGATGGCTCAGGCCGGCCAGCCCAGACGGCGATATGAAAGCCGGCATTTCATCGTTGGCTAAGAGCGATACTTCACCTCCCCGCCCGCTCCCTGACCTTCCGCACGTGTAATCGTCTGTCCGGCTGAAACGGACGCCTGGCTAACCAGAGACGGAGGCCCGGGCTTCCGGTGACCGCAGCCCGGCCTGACTGATGCACAATTCAGCAGGTCGATACTCCGCAGAAAAAGCAAAGCGCCAGCCAGCTGGGAAGATGCTGCTAGGGATTGGGCTATTTCAGGAGGTGGCTTTGACTCCAGGACGCTGCTTTGGGGCCAAGGGCACGGGGAGCAGGGCATGGGGGCACCTGCATTGGTCAGGAAGGACTGAGACCACAGCATCCCGACTCAAGCTAATGCTATGGGTGGTGACATGTTATATCTGATTAATCATAACACTGTAACCAGAATGTATTACAGCACATCCCTGTCTGTTTAGTTTAATTGCCCATTTGTACAGCTTTATTTTTTATATTTAACTATATATTCCAGTCTGTGCCTTATGTCCATGTTTCATGCTTCGGTCGTAACTCTACCTCTGTGTGTGACAAACTTGAGTCGTTAATGGGCTTTTCAGGTTATGTAGATTAGTTAAAGGTACTCCATGACTAAGGGCAGGAGAAGTAGAGTGAAGATGAAGGAGGAGTGAAGGAGAAGTGTTTTTAAGAACGTGTGTGGGACTGCAGGCAGCCTCCAGCAGATGGGATGGGATGCGTGAGTAGCCCCCCCCCCCTCCCAGACACACATCCACTCCTGATTGGACGGAAAAATGCACAGCTAATCTGATTGGCCGTGACCTGAGAAGGAAGGGGCAGCGCGGAGCTGATCTAATGAACAGGGTTTCTGTAGTGCCGCATAACGACCACTAGCTGGCATGGTGGTTATGATGCCATCAGACATTGAACTATGATGCAAAAAGCTTTGCTACTGTAAGTATCCATCTGCCTGCGTTAAGGGCGCAGTCGCATACAGAGTAGGTGCTGGATGAGTATGTAAATGATTAAACTAGAAAAAAGACAGACATCCCAATGCCAATTTACCATGGTGGGGGTGTGGGGGTGTGGGCGTGGGGTGTGGGGGTGTGGGCGTGTGGGGGTGTGGGGGTGTGAGGGTGTGTACATTCGGCCACTTTGATGGCTGAAATCACAGCTTAGCCAGCCCTCTGTGCAGGACTCAATAGTAAGGGCGCTCGCACATTCGGGGAGGAAAGACCATCGCAGGGGTTATCACCACGATCTGTCGCTCACAGTCGGGGGTGTGGGGGTGGCGAAAGAAAAAAACAATAAAAAACCCATTGGTTCACACAAGGGGGGGACGTACTTCCCGAATTGCACAAATCGTGTTTTCCCTGCAGGCAAATGATAGCTTCATCTCTGACGGTGTACACAGGCAACGCTGAGATAAGCGAGAGAGCGATGCCTCTGCCCATCTTTTTTTACAAGCCACCCGTAACTTTTCAATTCCCTTTGTTTCAATTCTCCACCCCCGGGTCGTTCCGTGCGAGTGGGGAGGCATGCACTAAAGTAAGATTACGACCTTGTGAGCGAACGGCCACGTCTGGGCTGAGAATGGCGATCAAATAAGACCTCAGAAGACTACGCTGAAAACAAATACATTTCTTGCAGATATTTCATGTTAGACATTTATGGGAAAGGGAATTCTTTTTCAAAACCCTAACATCTACCTATCAACCTATCACTTATCTTGGTCAGGGTCATGTGGGGGCCTGGAGCCAATAGGAGCCATAAGAGACCAGGCTGGGGTACACAATAGATGGGAAGCCAGTCCAAAGCAGGGCACATATTTGGACACACGTACATTACTGATTGGACGGAGAAACTCAATACCAACCTTATTGGCTGTGACTGTGTGTCAAGCAGCCTATGGCTTGAGAGGGGAGGACCACAACCAGCCTGTAGCTGGGAAGTGCAGCTCTGTTCCAATTGGACAGGGTTTTTTTCCGCAGTGCCGCATAATGGCCAGTAAGTGGCGTGGTGGTTTATGATACCATCGGACATTCAAAATCAGTGTAAATTGCTATGCTAAATAGCCGTCTGCCGACAGCTACACTACAAGTAGTTGTCGGATGAATGAGTAAATGATTAAACAGGAAAAAAACGAATGCATCGCAGTCCCAATTTACCTTTAATGTGTGTATTTAGATCTCAGCCAAACGTATCTCGGAGTGGCGCGCCGGTTCAATTTCGATCGGGCTGCCCAACCTCGACCGGAAGGCAACGTCGATATACCGGCTGCAAATTTAATCCAATTTATTCTTCCGTTGCCGAGATGAGATGTGGTTGCTCCCGCGATCTTAAATTTGTGTAATTCTGAATCGATTTCTCACCCTTGCTAAAAGCATGGCGGTGTCATACACGGACACGGGGCATAAATACGCAAACGCATGCGACGCATTCCAATACGGGAAGTTGTTCGTGTGTATCTCCTGTCTTGTCTACACCCAGCACCGTTAATGTCCCTCTGGCAGACGTACTGGGTCCAGTTCTCGTGACACCCATGGAACTCCGGGTGTCCCTTATGCCTGCCTGCTCATGCCATTCTTCATCTCTGAAAACTATTTTATTTTCTTATGTCACCCCCAGCTGCATTTACCACCACTCAAACCGCACATCTGCATGAGGCCCCTGATGTCTGCAGAGGCCCCCACACTACACTAAACTAAATAATGAAATAAACATGTTCCTTACCCAGAAGATGCTGAAGCAGCGTGTTCTGCTAACCAGCTGCCTAGCTACAGCCTTCTGCTTGTGCCGGCTAGCTATTTATCTAGTTCCCCCTTTCGGCTACAATCACTGCACTAAATATTTAATGAACACATTTCCATATGCGAGGCGGCTAACTAGCTCCGATCTTCTGACTCTACATGCTGGCTGTTTAGTTTTTGATACATCTGAGGGGGTGCTGTTGGTGACAGGCAGTCACTATGTTGATTAAATGCTGCCTTCCTTATTTAAGAGATGCGGAAGCAGCGTGTTCTGCTTACCAGAACCAAGCTACGGCCTACCTATTATTTATTTACTTTTTGAAGCATCTTTTTTTTGATTGGGCCCCCAGAAAACATCCCCCCATTCTCTCCCCTAGAAAGCGGGAAACCCCAATAACAAACTGCAGGGATGTTCTCCGTGGTTCCGTGCGGTTCCCCGTGGTTCCGGCTTCCCCGCACAGACGCAGAGCCACTAAACGCTGAAATTAGAAAGGCTTATGTAAACAGCGCTGGGAACAATGGTTACACATGACATTCGAGTTAATGGGGTAACTCTGAGGCAAGCCGACACCCCCCTCCCCGGCCGGCAGGAGCGGTTGCTCGCTGATTAAACGCCCCGTTTATGGGACGGGCGTGGCGAAGCCCCGTTAATTACAGCTAATTTAATTATGGAACATCTGTCTGGTTGACGTCCGGTTTACAGCCCTGTCAATGTTAATGGGAGGGCGGCATGCCGATCAGGCGCTGCCCGTACACGCAGGCAGGGGGCGCTGTGATTTTATTATGGTGAAATCCAATTAGTGGGGCCACTTTGCATGAATTGCTAAATCATCCGCCAGCTTTTCTCCTTCCTTTTTTGCTGTAAATCGTCTACATAATCAGTGCATGTTCTGCCATGGGCCCTTGTCCAGATGTGTCCAGCTGTAAAAGCATTTTCATGCATATGTAGATCCAGCCCCCGGGTGCAATTATCCTGCTAATTCTCCCAGGCAGCAGGACCCCCGGTTCTGTCCGATAATTCCCAGCGCCCTCTTCAGGCTGGCCTTTAGGCTTTGGCGAGAAAGGCTCCAGTAAAATCATTTCTGTCCTGTCCCTTAGCTAAGAAAATTCTTAAAGAAGGGTCCGGTCTGCCTTGATTAAATTTTCCGGGAGAGGATGGCAATCTGCCCAGGGGTGGGGGGGGGGGTACCACCACCCCCCAAATATACGTGATGATATTCTGGAGAGCTTGCTTGAGATGGTGAATGAGGCGAAGAGGATGTAGGACATTCATTGCAAGGATGGTACAGAAGGAGCTTCTGACAGTAATTGGGGTGAGGGGGAGGGGGGCTGGAGGGTGGGCGCTGGGGACTGGCAGGTGTGCGTGACGGACCGCGGGGGACGCGCTATCACACACGTGCCATGCAGTGAACGCACACACACATCTACCCACATCTGCCCCCTACCCATGAGCACAGGTGGGTCTGACAGCAGCTCCTTGTCGGGTTACTTCAGTAACTTACTCTCATCTTTGCTCTGTCACAGGTCCCCCTTTAAGGTCTTTCTAAGTCAGCGTCCGTGTCAGCAAGATGATCCGATTTTAAGTTCCGCACTTTACTCGCCACACACACAAACACACACTGTACACCTGTGTAGTGAGGCACTTCCCCAAATGCCTCCAGGACTGTGTTTCACAGGAAGTACGTAATTCAAAGGAAAACAAGACAATATGAAACAAAAGTAAGTAAGTAAGCTCAGCAAGCCTTTAGGTGCTTAGGTACAAATGAGCGAGCCAAATATAGAGTATAAGCAGAGGGTGCATGGCTTTGTAGCCGTGCGCTTCTCATGCATTAACTCTTACTTAGTTAGGTTTAAAGATTATAGGTTAAAGACTATAATCATGCACTGATTTACGACTGTGATTCGCCTGGCTGGCACTGCGAGTGGGGATATAGAAAATTAGCCCTTCAGACCAATCAGATTCAACGATGCCGTGGTATAAATAAGATGCAAATAACACTAAAAATAAAAGCAATGCAAAAGAAGACAATGAAAATAGAGAGTAGGAATATTAATAGTTGTAAAATGAAAATGTACAATGACTGTGTGGGCTGGTGGAAAATGTGTACAGTAAAGTGGCTAAAGTTCAATGATGCTGATGATGGTGAAGATGATGATGACTATGGTGCCCTCCTGACAGCCCCATCACAGAGGATGACGGCGGCACTGTCCCCTTACCCACGGGTGACATCTCGGGGACGCTGGCCACATAGGGCCCCTCCTGAAACTTGGGCTCGTTGTCGTTGATGTCCTGCACCTTGATGATGAACTCAGACTCGGGTTCGAGCGGCCGGCCCGTCTGCAGGTCGACGGCCTGGGCGCGGAGCGTGTAGAAAGCCCTCTCCTCGCGGTCGAGGCTGCGCAGGGCATGGATGTCACCGGTGGTCTGGTCGATGGTGAAGATAGAGCCGGCGCCCTCCCCGGACAGCGTGTATTTCACCCCACTGTCGCCTTTGTCCAGGTCCGTGTGGAGCTGGGAGCAGGAAGCAAACACAGCAGACGGTCAGGGCACGTGTCCTTCGAACCCGGGGCGGCACCCCAATCTCATCACTGACCTACCACAGTGGTGCTTCCATGGACAGTGGTCTGACAACTGAAAAACTGTTAACTGAAACACTAAGTGTGACGATACAGAGGGCAACCTTTTTGAGCGATGCTGCGCGGGTTGATATTGGGCAACATTTCTCTACTTGAAAAACTTTGATTGGCAGCGGGCAAATTTCCACGATCATCCAGATCCAGATGAGTTGCTCTTTGTCTCACCTGGCAACCTTGCCGTTCTGTCAATCAGCGCCTTAAGATATCGAAAAAGACCCTCAAATGTCAACAAACAACTTTTTATGCTCACTTGAGGTGGCTTTTGTGGAGGGAAACAGGACAGAATTTGGGAATTAGCAGATACGCAGGACGCCATGATAAGGTCTTCTGGGGCTACTGACTCGTGGAATGGGCAATCAATGCTGAAGGGTGAGAAGTAGATCTTAATCCCATGTGATGATGAACATCGAGCTTCATTCACAAGGCATACAATAGCAGGCCCTTACTGTGCTTTAAGGGGGACTCCCAAAGAAGCTCAGGAAAAAAATAATGTGCATCTTGGGGGAGGTCATCATAAAAATGTCCATCTTACACGATTCAGAAGCACTCCTCCCCCAGGTCAATAAAATTACAATTACCATTCCCACCCCCTATTTGAACTATTACTGTGGCCATGGCCACCCAGGCAACAACTTTTACCATCACTCACCCCCCCCACCCACGCACCCATCACACATGGACTGCCCCCCCCCCAATCCCACACTGCACTGACCTGCTCCCATGCTGACTCTCCTGGGGAGTTTCTCTCTACCTGCATACAGTTCTTCTTCTTTGTCCCCTGTTGTTTATATTTGTAAAGCGTTCTTTCATCCTTCCTATTCATCCGCCTACCCAACTGTGACCCGACTCGCAGTTTCGTCACACCCGTGAAACGACATCTAGAAAGACTCGGCTCTTAAATGGTCCCTCAGAGCGAATGTGACCCTCCCCTAGCCCACGAATAAATGCCCGCCCTTGGGGATGAGCGTGGATGTGCTGTGCTGGCAATCGTGGGGGCCGGGCTAAACTGGAAGTTGGCTTTTTCGCTCTAGTGTGTTGAAGGAACCTCTAATTGTAGGATGCCGGAGGTAGAATTTCACATCGTGTACTGTAATTTATGTACAAGGTCAGTGCTTATAGTACACGAGAGAGGGATAACTGTTTGGGGGGGAGGAAGGGTTGAGTTCCTAGGAGCCACTCAAAGACGTGTACACACACACACACACACGCACACACACGTAGGGTAAACATATCCTTATGGGGATGCTAGAATGCTAACACTAACTATGACAACCTTAACCCTTACCCTGCCCTAAGCATAACCATAAGTAACCAAAACAACAATTACAAGAGTTTTTGCATTTTTAGTTTTTTCATAGCAGTCACCGATATTTATAAAATAGAGTTTTCCCTTATGGGGACCAGGAAACCGGTCCCCATAAGGGAAAAAAGACGGATATTTATCACGCTATGGGGACATTGTGTCCCCATAAGGATAGGTAAACCCGCTCACACACACACACACACACACACACACACACAGCATAACCCTCACGACATAATACAGATACAATTTCACACCTTGTCCTTTTACTGGCTACTTTTTTGGACTTTATATCCACAAACCCACTGGCGCCTTGCAATGCCGATTATAAAATTGATTTATTATTGATTTGCAGGCACATTTACGGCCCATCAAAAGCAGATCCGCATTGCTTGTCCTGCGGCACCCATTGCAGCGAGACTGAGACAGCACGCCACAGATCATAATCCGCATTTCCTCTATTATACTGTCCATCAGGCTCGCATGTATCGCATGTGGATGTTCTCTGCGCCCTTTCCGCAAATCTCTGCGGAATATTTTAGGTTGCCTTCAACCTCTCTGTCAATCGTGTTATAAATAAAGTGTCACCCTTTTGTGATTATTTGGTTCAACCTCTACCTGTTATATCATACCTACAAACATTATATCCCCCATCCCGACCCTGCTGATAATCAATTAAACATTTGCACCAATTGCATCGTCACGAGTTTTAATTGGGTCACAGCTTACGCCTGTCCTTACGCCTCTTTATTCCATTCCGTAATTAGTTTGATGCACAGTACCTCGGAGACTTCACTGAAAGGAATGTATTTTTAGTGATGAGAAGGAAAAAAATGGTGGAATAAAGGAAGGAAAAGGAACATTTTTAGCTGACTACCTAACTGATTTAGTTCACTTAGAATCACATCTAAGACATCCTGAGTAATTCTGAAGTGATCATTTCAATGGTACACCATAAATCAGATGGTGTTTATATGTCACGCTAATAAAATGCATGCCAAATCTCCTGAATCATTCAGGGAGGGGGCCAGGATGTCCCCTGGATAGTCTAATGCAACCCCCTCCCAGCTGACAGAGTGAAATAATAATCCTTAACTGGATTGCAGGCGGCGTAAGATAACAGCAGAAATGACAGTAAAGTGGCAGGATGCGATTCTCCCATGTTTAAGTGTCAGAAAAGCAAGTGTAGAGTAATGTCAGTAACGATAATTAGGCAAGAATTCACGGCCCCCCGTGGCGTTTGTGCAGTAACAAAAGTGCCTCGCTGCGAGATCATTCGCTTTCTCCTTATCCAGGAAGGAGGGGGGTGAGGGGCGGGTGAAAAACAAAAGCTCGAGGCGAGCTTAGAAAGAGTCCCAGGAATCACCGCTTAAGTAAAACATGGCAGACTCATAGTGGAGCCAGTTCCAGGTACTTCCACCAGAGGCGCAGCAGCGCCGCCCTGCAGGAGATTAACGCCGTCACATAAAGTGTCTTGCAATTTCGCCGCAGACCATTGCTTTTAAAAGCAGGCTAATTATTCTGCACGTAACCGGACTAAATAAATAAATAATGGAACAAATCAGTTAATAAGTTCAATAAAACGATAAAGGGAAAGGGGCAGATTAGCTTCATCAAAAATTCCATTAGGAAATTGTTAGCAATAGCAATCAGTCATACAGGGCGATTCGGCACTAAAATAGATCCATGCAGGCGCTTTTTATAACCTCCCGGTGCAGAATGAGTCTTGGGTCTCACAGCCCCATCACGCCCCGCCGACATTAATGCCTATTTCGCAAACGGCAGCCTGAAATCTGTGAGGATCTGAGATTTTATGTCGTTTTGAGGTTACCGCAGGCAACAGGGGAGGGGCTCTTGATCAAGAGCCAGAAAAGTGACAGTGAGTGATGAAAAGGTTTGGCGTGCTAGCTTTGCCATCGGCTCAGATTTGCAGGCCGGGCATCATAGGCGGGAATGTGGCTGGGGGGGGGGTCCTCACTGTTTCAATATGTAAACGGACATTGAGAACCAAACCCAGGTAAATAAATGATGGTAAGTATGAAGCCTCAGAGTGGAAGTTCACTTAGGTATCGGAGTGGCTTTGTTTGGGACGTGTCATACCTCGTGTCACACAGAGAATCATGGAGACAGGCGATTCGCCCACAGAACTGAGTCAGACTCTCTCAAGTTGAGAGAAACATTCAAATTTATGGCATTTTTTTAGTATTCGGATCAGCCCTGAATTTGAAACAAAGTCAACTCCTTCTCCTTCTCTTTTTCTTTCTCTCCCGAGGACCTCTGTTTGGTTTGCTTATCGCAGGAAATCAGACAGGTGTTTAATCGCTCCTCCAAACACCCTTTCTTCACAATGGTTGCAATTACTAACCTTCTCCCACACTTCCAATGAAAAACATGTGGCAAAATGGTGGGACTTTAATTTCTTTTTGCCTAAGCGGTAGGTTTGTAGCTATTAACAAACGATGATAGTAGAGCCAAGATGGCGGAAGTGCGACCATCCAGATTGAGAAGGTCATGCTGGGAGAGCATCCCAGGGCTAGTGGGAACCAGGGAACAGAGCCAAGATGGTGGGAGGGACACATCAGCCGCAATACCCAGATGGAGAGGCTTGGGTAGAGAGTGTGTTCGTATCGACTTTAGCCAAAGCCAAGATGGTGGGAGGATAACTTCACAGGGTCATCTGCAGCACCCAAAATGAGGCATCCAACCCTCTGAGCTCCTCTTGGCTTTTGGGATGGGAACTTAGAGTGAGAGGCATACAATTGTCCATTAAACCGAGAACATCAGTCAAAACAGTGTGTTTCTGGAATCTGGATCAGACTACTTTCACTGAAATCTTAAATTGAGCTTTAAATCAAACCTGTAAAGTTTTACTATGAACTGCAAGGATAAATCCCAGAAAGTTTTGTTTTCCTCTGTTTTCTCTGCCTGTTTTCTCTTCATTTTTAACCCCTCACCGGGTGACACTGACCACCCCTTTAATGCATTACTATCTATATCACCTTCATTTAACCTGAGAAGTTGCAGAATCACTCAGTAAATTTACACCCAGAAAGATGATTAGGTGCCCTCAGTGTCGCGATCGCATCTGGAACTTTCCAGCAGTCCCCCCGCCTTTAATGGGAAAGGGAGCGAGGCCATGTGGGGAAAGTGTCATTCCAACACCAGCATTATCCTCTTCACCACAGTAGGGAACTGCAATTTGATTTGCTTTTCCAGGTCTTCTATGGGCAGTCGTGAAAGGATTTTACGGTCCCCCTGCTCGGGTATTTGGTACTGTGACTAGCCGATTCACTTGACCACCTACGTACTTAGGCAGGCAGGTGGGAAAACCTTTTGTGTGTGTGTGTGTGTGTGTGAGTGAGTGAGTATGAGAGTGGGTATACCTTACCTTATGGGGACACAATGTCCCCACAACGTGATGAATACCCATTTTTTTTTTTTGAGGGAAAACTCAATTTAATAAAAATCTGTGACTGCACTGAAAAAAACTAAAAATGCAAAACTCTTGTATTTTGCTTGGTTACTTATGGTTATGGTTAGGGCTGGATGGGGGTTAAGGTTGTCATAGTTAGCGTTAGCATTTTTCCCATAGAAATGAATGAGCGGTCCCCAAAAAGATATGTTTACCCGACATGAGAGTGTGTGTGTGTGTGTGTGTGTGTGTGTGTGACAGTGTGTGTGTGTGTTGGTGACAGTGTGTGTGTGTGTGTGTGGGTGACAGTGTGTGTGTGTGTGTGGGTGACAGTGTGTGTGTGTGTGTGGGTGACAGTGTGTGTGTGCGTGTGTGTGTGTGTGTGGTGAACCCCCTACTAACGGGGTGGGAGACTCCCCCAAACAGCTTCTCCATGCCTCAGACTGGAATATCGATTCCTGTCGGCAATTAAAGTAGGAAGTGTAACGAGGCACCACTGGGAAACACATAACTATAATTGGATCAGTGGGACTGTGGGGGGGGGGCTCATGCTACATTTGCACGGAGGTTGGACTCGCAGTACGGTTTCTGTCCGTCAGTGGGGTTACGTTGAGGGGGTGACCCCTCAGAAAGCCAGCCAGCTGAGCCTATACACACACAATTGGGGGGGTGACCGGGGGGGCTGTTCTTTACTTTTAGTGTTTCACCTCTTTTAAAGCAGGGGCAGAAAGTGGTGGAGGGGGTGTGAGTGGCTCTGTCGAAATGGGGAAAACAAAACAATTTCCTAAAACAAATGGAAAGACTCCATTTCAGGGAGGATGGGAAAATAAGAACCGGGGGAGAGAAAATTGACAAGAAACTATGAGATCCCCTTACTCACCCTCCTGGGACTAAGGATGCCCACCCACCCCCTCCTGGAACTTTCTCAAGAAACTAAAGTTCAGCAGTTCAGGTGCACTGTTACTGTTCATTAGACTGACAGTCATGCCGTGTTTGTGTCCTTTTCTGCGAAGATCAATCAACAAGATTTTACTTCATTTGCATATAAAAAGATCTTTGCCAGTAAGTCAGCTTGACTAGTTCATTCCATTTATATTTTCTTCCACAGGGACAGGGAGCAAAAGGGCAGAGGTCACTGGGGGATCTTACCTTACAGATACACGGATGCTGTACTGGCAGGGGTGATTACAGGGGTGGGGCCACAGGTGCAGCTGCCTCAGCTGAAAGCTGATTGGCCCCCTCCCCTGTCACTCACCGATTCAGAACATAATGCCAGCCCAACGATAATGTTGTCCTCTCCATTTGAACTATGGCCCCTCTCAGGTCCCCGCCCCACCTTTAAAAATGCTAGAATCGAGTGCATTTAATCATTTATGCCAGCTAATGAAAACCGCCATGGCTGTCATCAGCTCAAGCAAACCCCACTCCGTTTGGAATTCTGCGGTCATGGTTGGGAAACCCTTACAGAAAAACTGTCCGACGCCGGCTCCATTGCGAAATGTATAAATAAATAAGCGACAGGCCAGGCTTTCAGGGAAGTATAATAAACGGCCTACTTTCATGTAAGCGATGTCTGCAGTTCCACTGAGGGTGACGGAGTGGCTCGGAGCGCTATTTCCCACAATGCAAAGGAGGCACCGGGGGTGTCTATTCAGCAGGCCCACCTGCAGAGGCCTAGATCTCTCGGCTCTCTTCAGGCTCTTTCACACAACGGTCCAAGAATACGGAGTGCGAGCCACCATCGACCGCTCCCTTTGTCTCCTGGGGGGCTGCTCTCCCCCCGGGTTTCGGGGAGGAGGAGGGGGGGCACTGGGAGGTCTCTTCAGGGCAGAACCTCACTGTGTGTTTCCATTATCTTATAAAAGGCCTTTTTATACTACTGCAAGCCAAAGGTTTTCCCTTTGAATCCAGGCAGGACACTCGTCCTTCATCCCATGTGACTGATGAGTTGCCTCCCTCTCTCTGTCTCTCTCATTCTCTCTATCTCTCTGTCTCCCTCTTTCTCTCTCTGTCTGCCTCCCTCTATCTCTTTCTTTCTCTCCCTCTCTCTATGACTGTCTCTATCCCACTCTTTTTTCATTTTGCCTGTCTCTCTCTCCTTTTTCTCTCTGTGTCTCCTTCTCTATCCCTCTTTTCTCTCTGCCTGTCTCCGTCTCTCACCATTTTTCTCTGTCTCCTTTTTCTCTCTGTGTCTCATTCTCTCTCCCTCTCTTTCTCTCTCCCTGCCTGTCTCCCTCTCTCCCTATGTTTTCTGTCTCTCTGTCTCCCTCTTTCTCTCTCACTGCCTGTCTCTCTCTCCCTTTTTCTCCATCTCCTCCTTTTCTCTCCCCATTCCTGTCTCCCTCTCTCCCTTTTTCTCTATCCCTGTCTCCTTCTTTTATTCCTTCCATGTTTGTCTCCCCCTCTCTCTCCCTCTTTTTCTCTTCATCTCCCCCTCTCTCTCCCTCTTATCTCTCTGCCGCTCTCCCTCTCTCACCTTTCTTTCTCTGTGTGTTTCTCCCTCTTTTTCTCTCTCCCTGCCTGTCTCTCTCTCTCTCCCCCACTTTTCTCTCTGCCTGGCAGCAGGAAGACCCAGAGCTACCAAAACATGATGCAATCAGAAATAAGAAATAAAAATGGCTGAACATGAAAGATAAAAACATCAGGCAGGGTGAGCAGAGAGGAGTGGGGGCAGCCCGCCCAGCCCTGCTTTCTCCATCTTCTGCTCTCTCCCCATCTCCATGACCCCCATTCTCAGCACACCGAGTCATGTGAATGCCAAAAGAAGCCAAAGGTGATGTCCACACTGTGGATGAACTCAGCTCTCTCCTTTCTCAGAAGCTACTCTAAGAACCATGTGACTGAGCTGCCGGACTCATTTCGCATCCTGCTCTCACGTCAAAGCCACGTGCATGACCCTTAGCCGTTAGCATTAGCGATGCGGGGAAGCTGTAAATCTCGTTTCTTTTTCGTTTTTTTTTTCCCACCCCTGCGGCTTATGGTAAACGGCGCCACCCATTTAGCTCAGCCCGCAGCACAGAGTAGGGTTAAGACATCAATTTTGTGGAGAAAAATCCCATTTTTTGAGCTAGGTCACATTGGGAACCGCGCCAACGTGATTCCCAGCGGTCCACAGGAAAAGTGCTGGCAGGGGTTTGCATTGTAGCTGGAGTTAGCATTGTAGCTAGAGCTATCCCCGAGAAACTTCAAGCTTAATTACACCACAGTGGCCTCTTAAGTAACTGCTGGGATCCGACAGGACGAAATGACTTATGTATTATAAATAAAAAAGTTTTTAAAAAGGAGTCTTTTTTCATCGCTAATTTAAAATGCTCCACACTCGACATCAGAAGCATCAAAATTAAATTATTACTCAACAGGACATATTTCAAAAGTTCAAGAGTTCGGTCTGTGATACGGAGAATGATGTGATCCGTGTGCGATGCTCCAGGTTTCAGGGTAGCAGCGTCCAGCCTTCACGTTCATGCGAGTCTGTCATCCCCCCACCCCACCCCGAGTCTGGCTGCACTGCCCAGTGGCTCTCTAATCTCCAATTATACTGCCAACCCTCTTCAGATGAGGAACATGGGGGCAGAACTGAGATTCATTTTGTGGGCTAGAGGACATCTGAATGGAGAGGACTGATGCAGAAGAGAGGATGGCCACCGTTGCCATACCATAGCATATCATACTATGTAAGGCTATACATTAGCATAGCATATCATACTATGTAAGGCTATACATTAGCATAGCATATCATACTATGTAAGGCTATACATTAGCATAGCATATCATAGAATACTATAACATACCATATATATCACTTTGTTCACACCTCAAACAGAATGTCATCGTGAAAATCATTGTTCATGTGCCACCTGTCACGTGACATGGTGACTAAGCCCTTGCTAATTCAAAGGTGGGTCAGTTTTTCACTGCTCTCTTCCTAAAAAAAACAAGGCAGTGCCCTCCTACTTCCTAATTTGCAGACATTGGTGCCAGTGTTCCTCCTGGGAACCACCAACAAGCGACTGATGCACAATATTGGATCAGAAATAAGCACCATTAGCGCACATTAGCTCCCCCTTATCGGTGCCAGACATGAGGGTGCACACCCCTAAAAACCATCACATGGTCAACAAAACACCAACAAAATAAAAACTAAACTTTGTTTATAAATCCAAGGCTCAGTATCCTCTGTTTATTAGAATGTCACATCGGTTTAAATGCCACTACCCATCACGGCTAGAAAGCAGACATTTTTGTTTCTTTCTCATCCGTTATATGTCACGAATCAGAAGAGACTAAAAACAGAGCTCGATACGTCACTGCCCAAGGCAGACCGGTTCTTAACGTAATCCATCAGCATCCACACACGCCAACGGAAAAGACCCGCTCCAGTCCGGTAAGCAATCCGGATCAGAATGCTAACATTACAGAAGATATGCGACCGAAAGTAATCTGAGTGTAAATCCCATTAAATAAAATGGAGAAAAACTATGGGAATGTTCGATATCGGCAGCGCAGATGAATGGCGTCGTTAACGGTTAACTCAAGCCGCTCTCTTCGTCGCGACGTGCCAGCCTTCATCAGAGATGCTGGCGCTCACTGTCATCGGAGTGAATTATCCTTGGATTGCGAGTCGTCGGTAAAGCCGGCACGTGGCATCACAGGCGGTAATCCTTCCCAATTAACCCCATCAGCGCAATCGGAGCGAGGACGGAATTATCCGCGCCTTGATTGCGCGGCTGATTGTCTTATTGCGACGTCGTTCCTCAAATCAAAACGTGCCCCTGACTTCTGGAATTTAAACAATGTTCTGAATGGGATATCACAGCAATGTTTCCTAATAGAGATTCATGTGCGCATAAATATCAATAATGAGCACAGACATGCTGGTTTGAAATGGAAAGAGGTTCATTGTTAAAAGACACATGGCCACTTTGTGCGTGTGTATGTGTGTGTGTGTGTGTGTGTGTGGGGGGGGGGGGGCTCTGTCAGCCAACCCATTAGTCGATACAGGCAGCCGTCTATGCAGTGTCAGAGCCGGAACAAATCTAACGCCTGTGCTCAAGATTTCAGGGGTGGAAACTGATCATGCAGGATGATCCCATATTATTGGGGCGGGGGGCACCTCTAGCCAGTAGCGCATTTCAAAATGTAACGCAGAACAAAGCCGTAACATTCAATTTTCAAGGCATTTTTATGTGTTTAGGATGAACACTCTCAGTAAAAAAAAACAAAAAAAACCACAATTGACATTAAAGTAAAATAAGAGATGGTATCCTTGGTCATTCATCAAAGATTAATGTTCTAGAACCCCCTCCCCCCCCCCAGAAAATTGTTAATAATGAAATTTCCCAGGATTGGAGATATCCCCTGCTGGGGTGTTTGAAGGTGACACCTCTGTGATGGTCTGCTGACTGCAGGTGATGCTGAGGAGGCCACAGCCGTCGTGGCGGCGGGAAGGTAAATAAAACCCGCCGTGTGCTGCCTCTTGCCAGCCGGCGCTGCCCTTACCCGCGGTTCCGGGACGGGCGATCTCTGGGACAGCTTTGTGGGTCCTCCCTTCCTACACGGACACCGTGAGTGTGGACAGTCGCGGACTAAATAAACCACATCAGTCTGCTTTCTGTCATTTTATGCCAAACAACTCTCAGTGCGTGATTAATTTATTCTAATTATCAAAGTGGATATTATCAATGGAGCAATGCCAGTTTCCTGCCTGTCTCAATGGCAAGGGTACAAAAGAATGGCCCACCCTGCTCTCCCCTATATACATCACACCTACACCCATTCTCACTCTACATTTGCATCCATTCATTTGCACTATGCATATGGTCATTGCACTTTGTCCTGCTTTATGTACCATGTACTCTTTATGTTCCTTTGCTGCATGAAACTGAGTTTCCCCCTGGGATGTTAGAGTATATCCACACCTGTCAGAGCTGTATCCTGGCATCTTCCCTTCCTGGATTACGGAAGGCTGTACTTGGGACCAAATTAGACTGAAGAATGATGACTGATGGATGGATGGATGGATACAGTCTCACTGCACCTGCCTATCAGGCCAAATTGAGATGCTCAGGTATTTTTATTTTTTTTTGCACGTTTACATCTTATTTTTCTCTATTTTTGAATTTAAAATGCATTTGCCAATGACCCTTCAAGTGGAAAATGAGCCTTACAGGCTACCGTAGCCAGGGGGTGCACAGCAGGTCAATGAGCTCGAACTTCATCAATGAGCAAGAGGCGTCACTCAGTCACTGTCAACATACAATGTTAGGGGGTGACTGTTTGCTAAGTTACAGTTTTTCAGAGTAAAGACTGGGTACCGTCAGTCAACGCAATAAAAAAGTAAGGGTGCTTTTATTCTTTTCTTTTTATCAGCCGGAACGCATCCTGAAGGCTAGCACGAAAGAACCGGCCACGTTCAAACAGAAAAAAGATGGCTGCCTGTCAAGGGGAATCCAGTATGAAGCCGAGGAGAAAACAGCTGCCCTTTCAGCTGGAAGGTTCTGACTTTTATTCAAATGAGTGACCTTTCATTTTCCAGCTATTTTTGTAGTTTAAAAGAAATCAAAAACAGAAGATGGAATGTGAGAGTCTTGGACCACCACATGGTGATCCCATTCTCAACAACTAAAGTAAGAATCCTGAATACATTAGTACTAGTTACTGAAGCAATATTATGAGTGACGTATGAGGCACAAGACCACTAGATCTTGTTTTTTTTTCATGTTCCTACTGACCTGCTATCCAGCCAATTCATTCCACAGCTTCCTTCCTACTTGAACGTTCCTTTAGCCATTTGCTGAAGCACTGAGCAGACAAAGCAGAGCCAGACAGCATAAGCTCTTAGGCAATATGGTACGAGCCAAGCTCTTAATCCTGAAATCCCAAATGGGATTTTCCCAATGACTTTCAAACTTTTTTGTACATTGCAACATAACATGTTACCTTGATGATGACCTCAAATGGCAACAGGACGCAATTAAAGAAAATCCAGATTTAATAAGTGGTCCCTGGTGAGGTGTACGATGCCTGATACGCACCCAGCATACTCACAGCAGACAGGAATAGGACCCCCGACTGATGTGCGCGTAACCAAGGGGGACTGAGGATGCCCTGAGTTGCCATGGATACCAAACCCAATAGACTACCAAGGCAGAGTAAGACAAAGTAAGACAGAGTAAGGAGACAGACTCAAACTAAATACAGAGTCCAGGTGTGTGATTATACCATGGTAAATTACCATGCCAGTGGTAGGTAAATAACAAATGGATATGACACTTAAAAAAAAGCAGGATCAGCCAGTCTCTGGAGCACTTTGGGGTTAAATCCTTCCTCAGGAGCCCAATGGTAAAATCAACCTGTTGACTATGGCACTTGACCAAGTGACCTTCCAATCACAGATCCAGGGTCCTAACCTGCTGAACCCCACACTGCCCCCACATCCAACCAGTATTGGGCATTCCAGGTCCAGAAGCTACAAATCCAGACCAAGATTTTTTTTCTACCGTCTAGTTGAGTATTTCATGACTGTGATTCTTAATGCTCAGTTGGCAGCTTGGTCTGGATTTGTAGCTTCTGGACCTGGAATGCCCAACACTGCATCCAACCAATTTTAGATATGCATTTGTAAACATAGGCAGCTGTAAGGAAGTCCCTCTTTGAATGATACGTGTCCGGAGAGGTCACATGACCTCTCGAGGGTTCGTGCACAGACAAGCAGTCTCAAATTATACACCCCCCCCCCCACCCCACCATAGGCACAGATCCCAGAGGCACTGAGTTGGTGCCAGCTTTAGTGCCAGTGGATATAAGACAACAAATAAACTGCATAAAGAACAGCTGGGGGCGGTTTATTCTGCTTGCTCTGCATTGTGCTGGGCTCCACTGTGCCAGCGCCTTTCAATCGGGCTTCAACACGTCTGTTCTAAAAGGGAACGTCATCAGCAGAGCCGCTAATGAGCAAATGCGCAGTGGCTCCCACTGGAACTCAATGCCAGTGGGTTTTGGAAATCAACAGGAACCCGGCAGGACGTGAGTTTCTGAAATAGTCTTTGATTCCATAACTATATATTTGATATTTCATATCTCGTGTGGCCAGTACTTACTGCGAAGAGCTAGAGGCTCAACGCGACCACATGGATGGATGGATGGTATGGATGGTCATAGAGTCCATACACTTCTTAATTAAACATGAGGTTGAGCTTGCTGGGGCAAATCCCTCAGCACCTGGCTGTCTGGTCAAATTGAGATGATCTGTTTATTTTGACAGTTTGCACATTTATAATTTGCTTTTGTCCGTTTTTGCATTTGGAGATTTGGGCAACATTAACTGCCCTTGAAGGAACAGGGCCCTTCCAAAGGTCACATCCCCGCGAGTTCTTGCCCAGTGAAGCGTTGCATTACTCTAAGTCAGATGTCTGGCATCAGCATCACTGCAGACAGAATCCTGTGCTCACAGACATCATCTTACCACCCTGGTCCACAAGGCGTTCTGGTGAAAACCTCAGATCCCCGGCCTCGCAAACCTTTCTGCCACCTGCTATCCTGTCACGCCGTGCCGCGTTTCTGTGGAAAGCGCTCGATATGGGACACGCAGAGCCCTTGCACTCCTCGACACACTCGGCGGGAGACTCGAGCAGTGCACCAGGGACGGAGCTAATGCGAGTCGATGTCGCGTAATCGCTTATTTAAGGAGAACAGCAGCTGTCGATCAGAGCCGACTAGGCCATAAAGCGCCAGGATACGGATCGATGGAACCAGCCAGTGCTGCGGGTTCTGAGAAAAGCCGAACTTTGGCATCCCGGCGGTCAGCAAATTCATCCCAGGCAGATTGAGATGTGGCTACACTGGGTTCTGGGTTCAAGCACGTGGGGATAACAGTACAGGGACCTGCTGGCTATGAAACATCACAGCCTGATGGAGTAATGTGTAAATACTCTTCTAGGAACAATGTGTAAATGTTCCTCTGGGAGTAATGTGAAAGTATTCCTCTTGGAGCAATGTGTAAATACTCATCTGGGAGTATTGTCTAAATTCTACTCTAGGAATAATGTGTAAATAGGACTCTGGGAATAATGTGTAAATACTACTCTGTGGCCCATCGCTTGTACAGCATAGCAGAGTGTAAGTTAGAGAGAAACTAAAGACCCTTCCCTCTTTGTGGTTAAAATAACGTGCAAAAAGTATGAGCAATATGCTTTGGTGCAGAGGGTGGCAAGGTGTGCACAATTTAAGCATACTCTCAAAACAAAAAAAAACACAAGACAATAAACAGAATAAACATTAAAATGATAAAAGAAACAAAAAAACTGCTATTAATTGACAAACATGTAGATGTATAATTCTATCTATCCATCCATCCATCCATCCATCCATCCATATAGTTATAATCGTTCTGATTGTTTTCTACTAATGTACTTGCTGAATACACCATATCTATATAAAAGTTTCAGATTCTTCCAAAAGTTTTGACCTTTCTGCAGGAAACATTCCGATGAGCCATTTTTCATCCCAGTGGGAATCAAGGGAGTTCCTGGAGCTTATTGCAGGTAGCATGGGGTACACGGCAGCGGTACAGCCTGGACTCAGTGCTCTGTAAAAATGCTCAGGCTAATTTGAATCGTAATCGAAATATAAAGTAAGAGAGACAACCTGTCAGTTCACCCCCTACATTTGACGCGACCAAATGACAGGCTTTCAAAATTAGCTGGATGCAGGGGAATTTCCGCACCTGTTGGCAGGTTGTCCACGCTCTTCTATCCAAGTCATACATCATGAAACAACAAAATATATATTCTGGCTCGTTGCGATGAGAAATTTGCATGTGTATGTTGTGTATGTGTTTTCTCTTCTATTTTCTCTAAGTCTCAAATTTTGCAATCCTAACGGAACAGAAGCACAGTCTTTCTTGGCATTTTTCGGAAAGACTTGACGTGCAGGAATCACGTCCTCGCTTAATGGGAAGATGCGAGCGATGCAGCCTTTCGCCCGTCTGCGAGGCGTCCTATTGAATAGCGTTGCCCTGCAGAGAGCTCATTTGTGCATCACGCCAGTCACGGTCCAAATAAGCAAAGACCGTTGCTAAACGGCCTCATTCATACAAATCAAGTGAATAAGAAAATGATTTATCTTACCTTTAATGCAGAAAGTGAGCAGTGCAGTGTTTATGAAGGGGGGGTGATGTAACTCATCAGTTGCCATGGTAAGTCAGGGTGCACAGCATAACGCATAAGATGCACAAAACGCTGGAAGAACTGCCTTACACTGCAGCTTACTGTATACACCCACGGGTGCAGTAGGGGAATTGCAAACCTTGTACATTCAGGGGGGCGGCACTTTACAGGGGCCCCTGAACAGGAAGAATTATCAGTAGAATATCTCAGCTAAATTAGTAACACAAATTGCAGCGATTTGGCAGGTTTGTGTACAACACTTAAGGTCTCCCTTATTTCAGATTGCAAGGGACAAGGTGAAATTCTGTCGGGGGCGGGCAGAATTCCTAGCTCCACTTATGCATTCTTCCTAGGTGGTGAGCGGTGCAGAGGGCTAAACCTGCGTGCCTGTAATCAGAAGGTTGCTGGTTTGAGTCCCAGCTTTGGCCGAATAATTACAAGTCTGTGGGCCATTGAGTAAAGCCCTTAGCCCCCAGCTCCCCGGGTGCCGCAAGGTGGATGCCTTTTCATCATAACCCCCAAGTCTGCTCTCACCTGCGTGGACAGCAAGGTGGGGCAAAGCAAAAAGAGAATTTTCCAACAAGAATACATGGAATACCACTCCTCTCTCCCTCTCATTTTAACAGCTACTGTAAGCTGTTAACATGTATATTTCTAAACTGAGAGAATGTGCTGTCACTCTCATTGCGCATCCCCAGTCACGAGCCACACCACTATTTCACATTTCTATATATTTATTCATTCATTATGTTGTCTAACTTGTCATATTCTATGTAAAAATCCCTTTTTTTCCCCCATGGCTGCATCTGAGGTTGTCAGGATGTGTGATTGCGTGTTCGTCCAAACTCTTCTCTCACTCATTTTCTAAGAAGAAAAATCAGTGGGAAGTGTCCAGTCCTCGGTAGGTCGCCGGTTCCAATCCCAGAGTCGGCAGGGTGGTATCACAGCTGGGCCCGTGAGTAAGGCCCTTAACCTCAGATGCTTCGAGGGCTGTCTGACTCTGCTTTCTCAATCGTACATCACTTAGCATAAAAGTGTCTGTTGATTTATAAACAAATCATGCTAATTTGTCATCTGAAGAGTCACAGTCACATTAATCGTATTACCGTGTGGATTAAAATGAATAGGAGACATAGATACAGGGGACATAAGAATACATAAAGAAAATACACAAATACAACGAGGCCCTCTGCACTAGTTACCCCCCTATGAACAGTCTTGACCTTGGCAGATGAACTGGAATTCACTCATCCCAGTAAGGTCAGTGCTCTGGATTCAAACTCCATTCTTAATACTTCTGGCAGTGGAGTCAGAAGCTCATTGCCTTTGACGGTGTTGGAAAAAAAACTCCTTGGGGTCTCTGGTTTTGGGCAAATAGAGAATCGATGTTTCACGAGCCGCAGGGCTGAAGGTATTCTTGTTCGACCACAAGTTAGTATCAGCAAGAGGTCTCGTCTCGAGCAAGAATCACAGGCTGGTTTTACGCCGCCTAGAAATTCCAGTTTTGTTTGGTAAAAGTCACTAGTCCATTTACAAACTGTGCTCTCAGGTCAATGGATCCCGTGTGTCCTGTTAAATATAGAGCCTCTAATAGATTTTCAGACAGATACAGTATTGATTTCGCCCCTGTGAAAAAATACTACAGCACCAAGATAAAAAAATATATAACGTGCTGTAAAACAGCACATATACAAACAAAATGTTGGAATTACTGGAAAGGGCTCCCCCAATGTAAGATGGATCTTGTTGTTTAAAAAGTAATAAAAACCAACAGATAGGACTAGATGCCTCCCAATGGTGCCTGTACCATCTCAGGTGAGGTACTGGTCCAAGTTAGTAGTCCTCTGATGGCTACATGGGTCATGTATGCTGTCCCCCCTCAGCCAGCTGACTCCTCCTCATTCAGGACTTCCACTGCATCTAGTGTGTTACTCCCAAAACTTGCCAAATAAGCATCCGCCCAGGAGGCCACAGAAGGCATGGCAAAAGGAACAAAACTTCAACCTAACTAACAACACTAATGCCAACTGAAACCAAGTGCCCACTCTTATCTACAAAACTGTCAACCCTAACTGTAGAATTATGTCAAATTGCTAAGATATTGGCAACCCTAAAAGCCTGAACCATAACGCCAACCCTAACTCTAATATCACCACAAATGCCAACGCTCCCCCTAATGCAGGTGTGACTGATCTCAATTTAGGGAAGCTGATGCTATCCCAAAGCCCGCGGCCTAAACCCAAAGCCTATCCCTAAGCCCTTGGTCAAACGCTTCCTCTCTTCATCATCTTGTTAAATCTTGAAGCATCCGACAGAGACTTTACTCAACCATTCTGCTCCAAAGCAGAAGACCCAACCTTCAACGTCACATTTGACTTCGTCTATTTTCCACCCAAATGACGCTGCTTTGTCTCCACTGGGGGATGCTGCCCACATCGCCCGTTCCTCATTTACAGAAGTCGAGGTTTAATGAAGCATCCCGCGTCGCTCCAACTGGCTGCACCCTGGCTACACCGGGACCTGAATCTGCACATTATTATTACTTCATCCATCAATTTCACCTCTCCCCCGTCCCCAATCTCAAAAGTTGGCGCAATTTCAGATTGTTCTTGTACTTCCACAAGGACCTAGATGTGCTTTACAAAGATCACAAAGTCATCTTACCTTGCCAACGTACTGTGGGTCAGAACCCATGTACTCCTCTAGGACAAAGAACTGGTTCCACACCCAGCCCCGTTTGACCCGCTGGAATCCGGGTCCGCCATTCCTCCTCAGTCCTCCAGGGCCGCGGGGGCGTTCCTTTCCCAGCCTGCCTTGGGAGGGCGGACGGAGGGGTGACAGGAGACCTTCGTTGACAAGAAACCAGAGCAGCAGGAACAGACAGTTCCTTGTAAGCATTGGCGATCTCGGAACGAGAAGGTCCAGGGTGAACTCAAAAAAGTTCCAGGTGCTCCGAAAGTGGTCCGGCGGGAGCTGGGGGATGAGGTGGTTGCTTGGTGATGAACAGCTTCCAAAGGGCAGAGCTGGATGGACAGATAGATGTTGTTCGGTCTGGTCTCCTCTGTGTCTCATGCAGATTGCCACCAGACTGAAAGCACATTAAAAACTAATTAATAAATAATGACAAAATAGAAATCTCCATTGTATGCTACACGGCTTATGAAAAAAATCAGTATAATGACAAAACAACAATGGATAATTCAATTCAATTATATAATATAGTGATATAGTGCCTTTCACAACATAGTCACCCCAAGGCGCTGTACATGAGTGTATTGTGATATATTACTACATCAAATAAACAGATTAATACAAATACAGGGAGAAAGAATGAAAGAAAGAAAGAAGAGAATGGGGATAGGAACTAAAAACTCCCAAGTATGGAGAAAAAAATGGATGCCCCCTCCTCCCCCCCACCCCAGGCATGCTATCATTATAGAAAAACAAAGAGTGGACTTGCTTATTAAAAGCAAAGTGTAAACTGTGGTCGGGGTCAAAGTCAAACTCTGTCAATGACTTGGTTCTCCAGGTCGCCCTGTGTAACTCTCAGAGTATATAAACTACTGAATGAAGTTTATAAACTTAAGTCAACACGCACAAGCTGAAGTGAGATAATTCTGGGTTTTGACCTAACACTGTCCTGGTGGTCTTACCCAGAAGCGTGTCCACAATCCAGATAGCGTTAACAGATCATTTCCAGCAGTTAACACTTTTAAAATTCAAAACTATTTACCATCTAGTACACATTTAAAAAATTATGCAAAATATCCATCTCTTCATTACTAATTTGTTTCAGCCTTATTGATGCTGATGTGTTATACTGAAAAGGGAGGATCCAAGACAGTTCAAAGTAATACCTGAGAGAATTAATACTAATTCAACATAAGCACAGAGAAACCAGTTCCACCTGAATTAAGACTTTCTGTTATTTTGTTATATTTTCAAATGCAAAATCTGAGTCCATCATTTTGCATCAAACTCAACAAAGGTTCAAACACAACCGTTGTGCAGTCTTATTCTGCAAAAAGCATCTATTAAAAGGGGCACTCCTTCAACGCAAGCTTTAAGAATGCCTGTTGTTAATTACTTATATGAAAACAACTTGTGTACTTTTTACTTATTTTCTACATATATACACTACACGTATACACAACGTGAACTGTCTTTGCACTTTGTCTTGTTTGGGACCATATGCCACTATATGCAAAAGAATTAAGACAAGAACTGACTCTTCTGAAAAACTCCCATAATGCAATGCTAACATGTGACCACCATGGATGCGTGCCCGGTTCACCGCATCACACTGCAGATACCCTGCTATTTTTGGCCCCAGGACATTAATAATTGATGACCTCCTTGTCATTTAACACCTTCACAGAAAATTAAGGGGAGTGATCCACTAATCAATAGTGACACATTTCAGAGGCTGGCCCTGACAGATAGGACACCTCGCACTTGGCGTAACGCTGTACCTGAACACATTGCAGCCCATCGATCAGTTATGCTTCTCTTTTTCCTGCATCAATTATACAATTAGCATTGTGTTATGAGTGTGTGTGTGCGTGTGTGTGTGTGTGTGTGTGTGTGCGCGAGTGGGTATACCTATCCTTATGGGGACACAATGTCCCCATCACATGATAAATATTAGTTTTTTTCCCTTATGGGGACCAGTTTTCTGGTCCCTGAAAGGGAAAACTCCATTTTATAAAAATCGGTGACTACTATGAAAAAACTAGAAATGCAAAACTGTTGTATTTTGCTTGCTTACTTGTGGTTATGGTTAGGGCAGGGTGGGGGTTAAGGTTGTCATAGTTAGAGTTAGCATTTTTCCCATAGAAGTGAATGAGCGGACCCCATAAAGATAGGTATACCCGACAGGTGCGTGTCTGTGTGTGTGTGTGTATAAACTGTGGAAAAAATTGAGACCACACTATATTTTTAAGCAAACCGGTTTCTTCTATGGTTCAGCTGGCAGAAGGCTACGCTGAGCAGCAGATTGCTTCCAGGTCCAAAATTTCTAAGACAGCAGTACACAAGAACAAGGTGAAGCAGGAGACACTGGTAATGACTACAAACCAGCCAGGTAAAGGGCAGAAGTGACATTCTAATGCCAGAGATGACAGTCAATTTATTCGACAGTTTCTCTTGAATCGGAGGATGACATCAAGTGACCTTCAAAAGTGAATGGGAAACATTAAGTGCAGGTGTGAAGTGCACTGCTAGGACAGTTTGCATCAAGATCCTAAAAGCAGGACTGAAGACCCATAAAGCAAGGAAGAAGTCCTTCATTAATGAGAAACAGGGAAGAACCAGGCTGCAGTTTGCAAAAAAATATATACGTTATTCACAGACACACACCGAGAAATTTCATAAATTGAGAAATGGTCTCTTAATTTTTTCCACAGCTATGTTTGTGTGTGTGTATTTGTAGATAACCAGGGGTGAGTTTCCCGAAGCCTTCTTAACGCTACGTCATTCGTTAGTTCTATCTTTTAACACAGAACTTAAGAACGACGTAGCGTTAAGAACGCTTCGGGAAACTCACCCCAGTTCTTTTATGAAAGAATATTTGCAAATTTACAATATTTATTTGTATTTATTAATGGACAAAAGAAGCTAAAATAAAACAAGAGAATACATCAACAGGAAAATAATGTATTCTCATTGCTGTATTGAAAATGAGCTGTAAATTTCCCTTAGACATATAAAGGAAGTACCACTTCAGGGCTATAAACCGCTCATATTACAAAAAGTGTTTGCCTTGAGTAGACATTATGCTCTCATAGAGAATCACGCTGTTGAAAGGTTATGATCAGATAAGTTAACAATGTTAGGAAAAGTATGACATAATGTAATACAGCTGATAATTTTTACATTTTCAACAAGAAACTAAGGATTAACGAACACAATCGTAATATTTGTCAATCTTAATGACTGTAGATACTCAAAACTGATTACTTGACGGGGAAAGGTTCAGAGCAAAAAAATACAGGTTCATAATACAATGCACAATGTATTTAAGGGGCCAGCAGTCTTTGGATTTGCCCATTGGTGCAAGCCAGGTCAGGTGTCATGCCGTCAACCAATAAAAATTCTCGAGCGGGTAGGAGCTGTAGTAATGAGATGGCTTTGAAATCTAGGCCGGGTGGGATTATGTATGCTGTCAATCACTTATTTTGGCCCAGCGGGAGCCATCAAAACACCAAACAAGAAGTGGGATAAAGCAGCTGGTGATTGATGACACTGGCTGAAACCACCCACAGTGTTTTTTGATTAATTGGAAAAAAACTACATATTATACATATACACAAATATGAAGAGCCATAACTGTCTATGTATATGGCTCTTCTTATGTATATGTATAGACAAATACAAACACACACACACACACAGTTGTGGCTCTCTATCCATTCAGGGTCCAGGCAGAATATTTCATTTCCATGATGACATGAGTGCCGGAAATGTGCTGGTGGTTCTTGACCTTTCGCCCTCCAATGTAACAGAAAAGAAGGTCTGAACACCAGAAGAGAGATGGATTTCTGTGATTGCAATATAATGGGTGGGTGGGGGGGGAGGTAAATGACATGCTGAGTCTGTAATGACTGAAATTTCATCAGCAACTCCCCCTTTACCATGTGAGGTACTGTGGAGCATTGTAACCTCACACCTCCCTGCTCCTTGTGTGTACTTCTCCTGTTCCTCCCATTTATCCAGCTCTCCTATGGCCTCCCTGCTTCCCTCCCAAGTCCAAAAGCTCATGGTATAAGTGGATTTTTTGGATTAAATCACCCTTAGCGCGTCTGTGCCTAGCAGTGGTCCAGCCTCCCATGCAGAGCGCCCCCTGCCTCGTACCTTGGGCTTCCTGCGATAGGCTCCGGGTTCATGCTGACCCTGTACAACATAAGCAGCTCCATGGATGGACAGCAAAACATTAAAACCACACAGCAGCATGCCTGTGTTCTCCAGCTCTGCCACTGGGCTCTCTCTCCGATTGCCCCAAACGATTAATACCGGGCTGGAAAGCAGATTTAATAACCCTAAACTCAATTTGCTCCAAATTAGATTTCATAACTTGTTATTTCAGAAACGAGATATCTCAGCCAAATCGCTCGTAACTCAGCTATTAGGTGGAACGTAAAATAAAATTAAGGGAATGTATTTGGTGAAACAACAGGAAAGCATTCGTTGCGATTAAGCCTTTTCATATAAAGAGCAGGATAGACCGTACCTCTTATGAGCACAGAGGGCGTGGTAGAGGGTAAAATTATATAGTGCTATAAAAGGTGAAACAAGAGTTGCATATTTCTCTGTGGTGTTGGAGAAACAGAGTTGAGTTGGTGCATAATATACTTTATATCTGTTCGTTTGCTTCAGGATTATTTTTCTGGATGACAGCTGCAGTGTAGGGCGAGAAACTATGTGAAATATGAGCCGGTTTGCTATGGTGACTGTTCAAGAATGCAAGAGGAGCAGGTCAAGAGTGTGGCGGCTTCTCCACATGTGACCCCAGGCAGCAAATCAGGCTCCAGTTCACCTCTTGCTGCTCTGCAGCTTTTCAGCGTTTCTCCACATGGACACAGAGGCTGAGACCTGAGTTTTTCTGTAATCGGCGGGTTTTCTATAACCCAAGTCCTTACAGCCAGCACTGCGTTTGGTGTGCGATTAATGACACTGAAGTGGTATCGTTTCACTTTGCAGACACTAAACTGCTCTTAAATGAAGAGTTAAGCTGGAACTGAGCACCGTTCCTAAAGAAGAAATCCCTCTTAATATCTCTGCATGTAGCCGAGGAGGTGAGAAAGTACCATCTATTGGAAAGTGCTGTTAGACAGTGACTCAGGGCCAAGAAAAAAATTAGGAATGGTACCTCCTGATCTTCAAGGCATTCCTTAAAGACACTCAGGTTTAATGAACTAAAATGACTTTTTAAGAGATGGCTGCAGGTGCAAAACCCAGTATGCAAACCAGTTAAAGGAAATACTTCACCTGAACGTCTTCATTTTGTACCCAGGGGCATTATGGGTAAAGCATGGTCCTAGTACACAAATAATGCTGCAGTCAACAACAGATTAATAAATTTAGCTTGAT